GCTGGGAGCTTGGGTCGCGGGGGTGGGGGGGGTGTGTGGCCTAGCCTGAAAATGGCCATCAGCCCCTCACCCAGGGTGTCCAGGCACCCCAGCGGACTCCCCCACACTGAAGGGGCTGTGGGCAGCCAGAAAACGGCCCTCAGCCTCTCACCCAGGCTGGCCACATCCCCATGGGGTGAGGGTCCCCGCTGGGGGGCTTGGCCAGGCACCCCAGTGGGGATCCCCACCCTAAAGGGGGTGTGGCCAGCCTGAAAACAGTCCTCAGCCCCTCACCCAGGCTGGCCAGGCACCCCAGCGGGACCTCCACCCTGATCTGGGACACCCTTCAGCACAAACCAGCCGGCCCCCACCCGTGCACCAGGCCTCTATCCTATATAATAAAAGGGTAATCTGCAAACTGACCCTAACAGCAGAACGACTGAGAATGACTGGTCACTATGACCACACTGACCACCAAGGGGCAGACGCTCAATGCAGGAGCTGCCCCCTGGTGGTCAGTGCGCTCCCACAGGGAGAGCTCTGCTTAGTCACAAGCCAGGCTGATGGCTGCCAGCACAGCGGAGGTGGCAGGAGCCTCTCCCGCCTCCTCAGCAGCACTAAGGATGTCCAACTGCAGCTTAGTCCTACTCCCCGCTGGCAAGTGGACACCCTCCGAGGGCTGCCGGGCTGCCAGAGGGATGTCTGACTGCCAGCTTAGACCCAATCCCCTGGGGAGCGGGCCTAAGTCAGCAGGTGGACATCCCCCAAGGGGTCCCAGACTGCGAGAGGGCACAGGCTGGGCTGAGGGACCCCCCCGAGTGCACAAATTTTTGTGCACCGGGCCTCTAATCTATATATATAAAGAGCCAGCAACCGTAACGCCGTAACTACCATAACGACTGGTCACTATGACGCCCACTGTGGCGAGTGAACTGGCCCGATCAGGGTACATTAGGTTTTCTTTTTTTCCACATTGACCCAAGAGCTTCTCTTTATGGTTTGATGAGGCCTGATCCCCTGGCCAGCATTGCAGCTTTACTTTATTCCTCTGGTTCAAAACCTGCTTTTTTTTTCATTCTTCCCCAGTTACTATTCTCAAAAAGTAGCCTATATAATAAAGAGGTAATATGCAAATCGTCCATCACTCCCTCACCCCAAGATGGCCGCCCCATGGGTCACAAGGTGGCGCCACAAGATGGCCAGCAGGGGAGGGCAGTTGGGGGCGACCAGGCCGGCTGGGGAGGGCAGTTTGGGGGGACCAGGCCTGCAGGGGAGGGCAGCTGGAGTCGACCACGCCTACAGGGGAGGGCAGCTGGAGTCGACCAAGCCTAAAGGGGAGGGCAGTTAGGGGTGACCCGGCCTGCAGGGGAGGGCAGTTAAGGGGGGCCAGGCCTGCAGGGGAGGGCAGTTGGGGGTGACTGGGCCGGCAGGGGAGGGCAGTTAGGGGTGATCAGGCCTGCAGGGGAGGGCAGTTGGGGGCGACCAGGCCGCAGGGTAGGGCAATTAGGGGCGATCAGGCTGGCAGAGGAGGGCAGTTAGGGGCAATTGGACTGGCAGGGGAGGGCAGTTGGGGGGCGATCAGGCTGGCAGGGGAGCAGTTAGGTGTCGATCAGGCTGGCAGGGGAGTGGTTAGGGGGTGATCAGGCTGGCAGGCAGAAGCAGTTAGGGGCAATCAGGCAGGCAGGCAGGTGAGCGGTTGGGAGCCAGCAGTCCCGGATTGTGAGAGGGATGTCCGACTGCCGGTATAGACCCGATCTCACAGGGATTGGGCCTAAACCGGCAGTTGGACATCCCCTGAGGGGTCCCAGATTGGAGGGTGCAGGCTGGCTGAGGGCCCCCCCCCCCCAGTGGTATGAATTTCGGTGCACCGGGCCTCTACTCCTTTAGTAAGTACTGCCCAGTACTGGACTCTCCCACCCTGATCAAGGGCGGGGCTGGCTGGCAAACGCCCCAACCACTTTCCCCTGGCCAGCCCCACCCCCGATCAGCCCGCCCCACCATGATAGGCCCGCAACCCCTCCCCCGAGCTGGCCCTGCCCCTGATTGCCACCCCTACCCCAATAGGGGGCAGGGGTGGCTGGCCAACCACCCATGAACCTACCCCCAGGGTGCTGGTCACCGATTGAGCACCCCCACCCCATCTGGGGGTGGGGCCGGCCAGCCACTTCCCCCTTCCCATGGGCGGGCACGCGTCCCTATACGCACTCAACCCCATACGGGGTCGGGGTCCACCAGCAATTGACTGCAGCCCCTCTACCCAGC